AACAGTAAAAACGTCAAATTCCTTCTTGTTTGAAATTCAGCATACGATTTCTTTAATATACATGTACATGTATTTAGCAATAAAAAGATTTTTACATCCTCTTTATAATTCACAAAATAAAAACTTTGTATAATATGCACAGAAGCATAATCTTTCTACCAATGCGGCAAGTCAACAGGTCAACCGCTAGCATCATTTCCCATGTATACATAACCGGATATCGTCTATGCATTGTAAATTTAAAACCGGTCATTGTCAGAATAACATAAACGAAATATACATTTTCTTTTATAAGAAAAACATGTTCATACATGTATAATCAGTTAAAAGAAAATTATTTTGCCATAATAAAATCAAATGCAAAAGAAGAATCACGCACTTTTGTCTAACAACAGAACAACACTGAATCACAGGGCACTACAGCACAAGTTTTCACTGCGACACACACTCACATGATGGTGTGTACGGACGACTGTAAATTCTGCACGCTCATATGAGAAAAATAAATTCTAATTGCATTAAATTACAGAATTTTGTTTTACTTCGATGTTTATAATTTTGACTTTCATATGCATAAACTATGTATGCGCGCATATTTCACATAGCATTAAATAGCGATTATCAAGATAAACGTACCCAAACCACAAAACAACGTGTCATCCACACGTATGCATTGGACTAATACACACTACCTTTGGCTTGCATAATTAAAATCAAGGTAAGCCATACATACACTTCGTATAATTATCGCGCTTTATTTGTTGATCACAGGAACACAGTTAACCCGAGCGTGACAGACAGGTGGGTGTTATCAATAGAGCATTCAGTCATATTGACATTGAGGCTGTTTCTGCTTTATCATATTTCTTTTAATTTTGACCCTGACTCGAAATAAAATTAAATTAGTGTTCCGTCTTTTAATCGACTACTTCTTTTCACTGACACTGCATCTCTAAATTATTGTAAGACAGCCGATGATAATTATTTTAATAGCAAATAGGCAAAATATGATAAATTATAAATCAAGATGAAGTTCTTCATTTCTTTGCATCATACGACACATCAGATTACATATATTAATAACTAAACATATATACAATCAATTATCACTTTGCATCATAAGTGTCACCTGAATAAACAGATAAACATCCTCGAGGCCCGCATCTTCTTCTTGGGGCCAATTAAATGTCCAGGTAAAGGTGCTAATTATATAACCTTGTATACAAATATCCACTTCGAGGTATCGTGGATAAATTCTAATAGAATATGCATAGCGGGACTGCATTTTGACTTCGAGGGATCAAGGGTTTCGAGAGATCAAGAGTTCGAGAAATCAAGAGTAAATTTGCTTAGTTATATAGGGGGAAATTTCAGGACTGGAGACTCACTTCGAGCCATCAAGAACTTCGAGAAATCAAAGTTTGAGCCATCAAGAGTTACCTTTAAAAAGATCAATTTTAAGAAACTTATTTGGTTAAAAAAATTGTTTTAAATTGTCATTCTATTTCTAATGTGTTTTAGTGCATTTTTCCACTACAGTATTTATTGATATTTTCATTATTGAATTTTTATTTTTAAAAAATTGCTCCATAGACTTCAATGCAATCATTGTTAAGTACTTACTGCTTAGTTAATTACATTTTTGAAACTTTCTCTTGGTAAATCCTTTTCTACTGTAAAATGCTTTAAATTAATATCAGAGTATTATGCGTGTGATGGACATTTAAGGATAGAGGATGGAAAACCTTAAGGGTAAGAGCGAAATAAACGAGGGTCAAAGTCAAAGAGGCACAACAGAGGGTCATAGTTTTGCATAAGAATATATAGGAATTATCTTGAAAAAATCTTTTGCTCAAGAACAGCAAAGCCATGATTAGTCATATTATTATAGAAGCATTCTCAGGTAGTGTAGATTTAAATTTGTTCAAATTTATGGTGGGTAGAGTGGGGCCACAATGAGCAATCAGAGTTTTACATAGGAATACATAGGGAAAAAATCTTTAAAATTCTTCTGTTTAAGAGCAGCAAAGCCATGATTAGTAATATTAACTGATAAAGAAGCATCCTGAGGTAGTGTAAATTTAAGTCCCCCCCCCCCCCCCCCCCTTTAAAACTTTTCAAGACTGAACCAATTTCTGCTTCTTCCTAACCAGTGTGCTCAGGTGAGCGATGTGGCCCATGGGCCTCTTGTTAAATTAGTGTTTAGCACAGTTTTAAATAAACCATTCTAGACATTTTTATCAAACTTCATATGCTGATAGGTATTAGCAACAGCTATTTAACTGCATCAAAAGTTTTTGATTTGCACTTTCCTGTGACCTTGACCTCACTTTTCTTTAAGTTGCATTTTAATTTTGCAAATTTACAGTTATTTACAATTTCAGAGATAATTTGTGGGCTTCGATCACAACCTTCTTTTACTCAGCAATATTTCTCTCTGCAAACTGTCTATTGTTAATGTATGTAGAATTTTTCTTAGCACTGTAGCAAAAATCAATAGTTGCACATGGATTTCAGACTACGAATAAACATTGTCAGTAATAATAGTTGATTTACAATATCTAAGATGAAAAAAAAATGCCTGCATGGCTTTAAAGTATTTCTGGAGAAGCATGCATCCAGACCATCTATTGGCAGTGTGCGAAACTAATCTGGAGAATGAAATGGCCCATTGGACTATCTCATTTTAAATTGGGATAGACCATAGACAAATGGGACTGTCCAAAGAAAGTAAACTTGAAAAAAATCTGCACTTGTTATTGTTAATATATATTTTTTTAATTTATTCATTTATATTCTTATTGAAGTATCTGCTAAATATTTTCATTATTATCTAGTGAAAATTAAATATAATCATGCAGTGTTCATGCATTTCACACCCAAAAATCTGTACAATTATTCAGACTCATCGTATATGAACTTCACTCTGCAGACTAGCTAATATTTGTGGAAGACACAAACTCTAATTTCATCTTTATAGCTTTCCCTTTTTTCGGATTCATTATTTTATTTTCAATTTTTTTTGGTTGTATTTTTGTTTATTCAGTTTGTGTTTTAATGCCATGCTTCCCACAGTCGGGATTTATAGCATGCCTGATATACACAAACAGCAAGCAATGGGTAAAACTAGTACACCGCTAATTCATCGAAAGATGCATAATGTTATAAATTAATAAGTAAAGAGATTTAACAACAGTTCTTTTACCATGTGTAAAATATAAAAGTACAGACCCTGAAACGTGCTACTACCCCACACGCACGTTGCATGAACAGTACACGATCGCTACACGGTTTACACGAAACGCTGCATGGTTTACACGAAACGCTACATGGTCTGCAGGAAACGCTACACGGTTTACACGAAACGCTTTGCACGAAAGGCTGCACGGTTTACACGAAAGCCTGCACGAAACGCTTTGTACACGTTTCTCACACGCTTTGTACACGATCTTTATTGTCGGGTGTTATCTTAGCCATGATTGACAAAAGATAATACATGTAGCAGAACAAGTTTTCAGTTCTCGGCACGCGGAGCCCGTGATCGCTGTTGGAAATGACCTTGATCACAGTCGTTAGAAGAGTGTCGGAAGTGTAAAGAAGATTCCAATATATTTTTAAGGGCTGCATTGGGCGCACCCCGAAAAAAAGCAATAATTTTTTTTTGTAAAAGACAATTATCTATAAAAATTTATTAACAACAAAAACTCAAAGTTTATGTTTTCATTTGAACCCCCCCCCCCCCCCCCCCCCCCGGAATATTTAACCCTGTATTTGCCGACGCATGTGAATTGTGTTTCATTTATAAGAAATTATCAATCAACCAATTTTATGCATAAAAAGACTATAAATGACTCATTGTTTCAAAATTATTTGTATCACAATCTTGTTATATAAGAAAATTATGTTCATGTATAAAGAAAAAAAATATTGTGCTCCTAGGCCTAGAATTCCCATATATATTTATAGCAGTGCACTAAACTTTGTATTTTATTTTTCACACCTGTCTTATCAATCTATTATTTTGCATTAATCACCCACATGTTCTTGTAATCTCTGTATACCTTGATTGTAAAATGGTGAAGAGATTCAAATGAATGAAAAGGACAAGACCGGATTCCTGATGAATTTTCTTTTTAAAAAATGTTCAATATTGCTCCCTTTAAAAGATTGTATTGAATCAAATACCTTAGAATTGATGTGCGTATAATTTATTACTTTGAACACATTTTCTTTCCATCTTTATATAAATAAAAGAAAGAAAGAAAATCAAACAAACATGTAATACATTACCGAGTAATTTTATTTTGTTGTTTCTGTATTTTTTTCTCTTAAAATACCAACGGTATGATATATCCGAATAATATTGGTTACAAACAATACAATGACATGTTGATCCATCAATAGCCATTAAAATAAAATGACTTCCGAATGACTCCTACACATTTCTCACACAATTCTTGCACGAAAGTCGCACGTTTCTCACACGGTTCTTACACGAAAGTTGCACGTTTCTCACACGCTTCTCACACGCTCACTACACAGTTTGCAGGAAACGCTTTGGAGCTTACACGAAACGCTGCACGGTTTACACGAAACGCTACACGGTTTGCACGAAACGAAAAGCGCACGAAAGTCACACGCTTTTTTGGGGTAGTAGCACGTTTCAGGGTCTGTATTAAATTATTTTTTCACAATTATTTTGTTTATAATTACATGTTAAAAATACGAAATGGTCATTCTTTTTCAATCTCATTTTACCCATGGCCAAAATTGGGATAGACAATTCGGTCTGTTTCAATTCGGATCGGGGTAGCCCAATTTAATTTGAGATAGATTCGGACCATCGGACAGGCGTTTATTTCGCACACTGTATTGTTCATTTTGCCTTTGGCATGTCACTCTGATGGTGGGAGAACTTTATTAAATTTATTGTAAGAGGCAAAGATTGCTATTAAGAACCCAAAAAATGAATGCAGTATAATTTTATTACCTGTTTGTAGGGAGCTGCCACAGCTGCTGAGAAGCTAACAGAACTTGATGCATTTAAGAGAGCACAGACTGTTAAGATTAACCCAGATAAACCACAGGAAAATGCTCGATTTCTTACAATGGAGGTATATGTATTGCTGCTATTCTGAAAGACAAAACTAACTAGATCCTCACATTTATAATGAATCTTTACAAATTTTCATTGTCTCTAAAAGTAGTTAGGTCACTTGATTTCTTATACAAAGGCTGAAAAGACCCTTTTGGTACCAACTCCTCGATTGCGCCATGGACTGTTCAACAAATTGTTGCCTCCGCAAGGATGTGGAAAAGAGATTCTACGTTACTGCTCCACTTCACAGGTAAAAAATTAGAGCTTACCACTACTCCCTATCAAACTTTGTATATAGTGTTAAATCTAAAGCAAACTAGCATGGAGCAGTGCCATGCCCCTTTTTAGAGGCGCCATGTCCTTTTTTCCTCACCAAAAATTATATATATATGCCCAGAAGTAGCAAGATTCACTAGCCGCTCTTTTTATTCGGTACATGCTGATTACCCCTTTTTTAAAGGTGTGAATTCAGGGTAGGAAATCACTTCTCGTTTGAACGTGCACAGCTGGCCAGGTAACATGCCTCGGTCACAGGTTGGTACCGCATGAAAAAAATAAATAGCTAGGTTTTGGCAATTCCCTGCAATTCAATATCATTCCCAAGTTTTCTCAAAAATAAAAGTAAAAATTATTATACCCCCGCAAACAAGGTTTAGGGGGGTATATTGGACCATGTCTGTCTGTCCCTCTGTCTGTAGACGAGATTTTGTCTGGACCTGCATTTTACGGGTGTTTTTTCATTTTTAGCTCACCTCAATGAAATTGGGGGAGCTTATGTAATACCCTCGGCGTTGGCGTCCCAGGTTAAGGTATTTGGAGCAGTTTTCTTTTCAAGTACTTCTATGGATATATTAGTCAGAGATGCATGAAGGATGCTTCTAGTGTATTTCATTGTACCAGTCAAGATTTCAGATGCTGCAATTTCAGCTAAAGAATGACCAGGTTAATGTTTTTGGAGCAGGTTAAAGTTTTTGGAGCAGGTCTCATTTCCAAGTAACTAAAAGCCCTATATTGACCAAACTTGCATGGATGATACATTTAAGGATGCACACTACTGGACTTGCTTAGGATGCTGAATTTGACCTATATTTTCCGGATGAGTGACCAGGTTAAAGTTTTTGGAGCAGATGTCATTTCCAAGTATTTATAAACCCTATATTGACCAAACTTGCATGGATGATACATCTAAGGATGTACACTACTGGACTTGCTTCGGATGCTGGATCTGACCTATATTTTCTGGATGAGTAACCAAGTTAAAGTTTTTGGAGCAGATGTCATTTCCAAGTAACTATAAACCCTATATTGACCAAACTTGCATGGATGATACATCTATAAGGATTCACACTACTGGACTTCCTTCAGATGCTGGATCTGACCTACATTTTCCGGATGAGTAACCAGATTAAAGTTTTTGGAGCAGGTCTCATTTCCAAGTAAACTATAAGGCCTATCTGAACCAAACTTGCATGGATGATGCATCAAGGGATGAACAATCTCAAAACTTGCTTCGGATGCTGGATTTGACTTACATTTTATGGATGAGTGACTAGTTTTAAGTTTTCAGATAAGTCTATTCCCAAGTAACTGCAAGCCCTATCAGACCAAAATTGCATAAATGTTGCATCTAGGCATGCACACTCCTAGATTATTAGTTTAGTGTGGGACTTTGCCTTACTTAAAGACAACATTCGTTGAGGTGAGCTCTGTAATCTCTGATTACCTATGTTTATTTGTTTATTACATGATTTTGTCCGGACCTTTTCTCAGAGACTATTGCATAGATTTGTCCGAAAATTTGTACACTCATTATTCCCATATGAAAGCGTGCATCTGCTATTTTCATTATTATTGGATAATTTTTCCGCATTTTACAGGTATGTTTTTTTATACCCCATGCAAACGAAGTTTAGGGGGGTATATTGGAATCGGCATGTCCATCTGTCTGTCCGTCTGTCCATCTGTCTGTAGACGAGATTTTGTCCGGACCATTTCTTGGAAACTGTTGCAAGGATTTGTCTGAAAATTTGTACACTTATTATTTGCCATATGAAGGTGTGCACCTGGTATTTTCATCATGATTGGATAATTGTTTTGCATTTTACAGGTGATTTTTTCATATTTATGTGGTTTTGTCCAGATCTGTTCCCAGAGACTATTGCATAGATTTGTATGAAAATTTGTACATTTATTATTTACCATATGAAGATGTGCACCTGGTATTTTCAACATTATTTGGTAATTTTTCTGCATTTTACAGGTGTTCTTTTTTTCATTTTTATTGACTAAGTCATTTCAGGTTCATGTCTAAGGTTTGAGACATAGAATCTAGAGAACATCTGTACAAAAATGTGAACTACAGCTTAAAACTATCATTAGAACTAAAAAAAAAAAAATCACAAAGTATTAAAAACAGTTTTTACATTACACAGCAGATAATGTAAATCCATTTGTCCCTTGGGAGTAATGAGTGGACATGCATCCAGTTAAAGAATTAATGAGTTCAGTGTGGGAAGCTGTTAGGGCATCTCTGATAAAGCAGGTCTTATCTATATCTCCTTGGAATTGGGCAGAAAGAAATAAAGATCTCTGTTGTCTAAGTCTCTTAATTGTAATTTATGTCTGTCAAAATACATAGTTACAGTTACTGGAACCAGCCTTTTATTTTTAAAGTGAGTTTCATATAAAGGTATTAAGATCAATTTGATTTTGTGTAATTAATTATGATATTTTTTTTTTCAACAATCAATTTGCAGAGTGTCATGTCTCACAAAGATGACAGATAGTTGCAAACTATTTTTTCAATGTAATAAAAAACACTGTAATTATTAGCATTGATGTTTTATTAGGCTGCACCTTAGTTTCATTCATTAAAAAAATATAATGAGTAAAATGTTTAAGCAAATTGTAAACATGCACCTTTCACATCAAGAAAACATTAGTGATTTGGTACCTTCTCGGAAAAACCCAGCGGGGGGTATTTGTCCCTTTTGGACAGTTCTGGTTTTTTTTTTCATTTTTGTTGACTTAGTCATTTTGGGTTTATGTAGGTTTGAGACATAGAATCTAGAACTGCCGGTTGGTATATCTGTACAAAAAAGTGAACTGCAGCTTTAAACTACTCATTAAAGCTGAAAATAAAATCACGAAGTTTTTTGATAGATAGTCCCTACAAATCCAAGAGTCATGCAGTAACCTTATTAAAAAATGTTGTATCAAGATTACACATTTCTTTTTTTTTTTTTTTCTTATATAAGGCTTTGAAACAAATTAAAAGAAAAAATTCTTCTTTTTCAACAGAATGACTTAGATATGACTTTTCTATTGTACACAGTGAATTACAAAACAGTTAGCATAAATCCATTTGTCCCTTGGAAGTAAATTGAGTGGACATGCATCTAGTTAAAGATTAATTAATGAGTTCAGTGTGGGAAGCTGTTAGGACGTCTCTGATCAAACAGGTGTTATCTGGGGAATTGGGCACACAGAAATAAAGATCTCTGTTTTTGTACATATATAGGTGTTTGTTCCTTGTTTTACTAGTGTTCTTAACAAAATCTTTTCATCATGGTGAGTGAAATATTTGTTGATGGCAACTGGAAATATTGAAATGGCGACCAGAAACATTTTTAGGAAGACTAGTGTGACTTGGAGCACTGTCTAAAGTAAAATTACAGCCTGAAAGTGAGATTAAGTAACAGAATTCTTTTTATGATGTAACACCCCCATTCACTGTTCACTGTTTCCAACAGCAGGGTTTTGAATTGAAAATCCTACATTATTCAAATATGTTTTGTCAAAACTTTATGAAACTTTGAAATAAAAGCCTCCGAACACTCAAAATGAGAAAATATGTCATACTATTTCATTCTTCTACATTGTCTGTCATACATTGAATGCCTTATAAGTGCTTAGACACAGATTTGAACTTAATATTTTCTCAAATTTTCTGTATAATATCATGACTTATTTATTGCAATAGCATTTCACACAAAAATATAATTAAAAACTTATTTTATTTGGAAATTATTGGAACTACAAATTCCAGGACGCGCTTGAATAACACATCTTTGCACTTACACAAATTTTAACTTAATCCTTAATATTTAAGAAAAGAAGCGATTTTGTTATGTATTAATGAAAAATTTTACATCTTTAATCCAGAAAATTCAGAGTAGAAATGTTTGAAAGCAAAACCAACTCACCAATATTTTCAGTCCTTGCTCTGTGATGTGTACAGAGTTTAACAAATTGAACACACCCATGAAACGTAAACTGTTTTTGTAAACAGGGCACGAGCTCTGTTATTGTTAATGTTTACGATTCTGTGGGTGTGTTCAATTGTTAAACTCTGCACACACCACTGAGCACGGACTTACAATACTGTGAGTGGGTTTTGCTTTAGAACATTTCTACTCTGAATTTTCTGGGTTATAGTTTTAATATTTTTCATTAATACACAACAAAATTGCCACTTAAGTATTAAGAATAAAATTAAAATATGTGAAAGCGCAAGGATGTGTCAATCCAACGCGTCCAGAAATTCGAAGTTTTAATAACTTCGAGTTGAAGTAAGATTTTTATTATATTTTAGTATGAAATGCTATAGCAACATACATGTATAAGTCATGAAATTATACAGAAAATTTGAGAAAATATTAACTTCAAATCGGTGTCCAAGCACCTTTAAAGTACAGCAGAAGTAAGTTGACTTATGTGAGCATGCTGGCCCTTGGGCCTTTTGTCCTTTTAATTTGTAATAAAATGAGGCCAAAGAGTTTTCTATGATACTCTTTAAATTTACAGGACTGAGCTTATAGTTATTATACATTTTCAAGAAAATGAATGCATTATTTCATGCTTGATTTTGCACATCACACGATATTCTGTACATTTTGCAATACTTCAAAAATATCCACTTCTTTAGCTCAAAATAATTGTACAAACCAAGATGCAAGTTTTAGCAAAGATATTTTGGTTCCAACAAATTGCAAATTATGTACCTTCATTTACCAAGTTATATAGAATTATTAGAAAGGGAAATGACTGTCAGTATAGTACTGTTAATGGTACATTGCCATAGAATTCTGTGTACAATACCATGCTGAAACCTATCTCCATCATTGTTACTATTGATATATACTAAAAGTTAGTTTGAACAAATTGTTTCAGAAACTGAAAAACAGTATCAACATTTCAGGGTTTGAAGGAATACAGCGTTCCTATTGGATTAGAGGCCAAGGTCAAGGTGGATTTGGTTGTTATTGGATCTGTAGCTGTGTCCAAAGAAGGTTAGAAAGGGGGATGTAAACAGTAAATAATCATGCACAAGTGATACCAGTTATTATACCCTATGCAACAAGTTGTGGAGGGTATAATGTTTTTGACCCTTTAGTCAATCTGTCAGTCCTCTTCTTGTTCTAAAACCGCTCCACAGAATTTTGTGAAATTTCATAGTTAATCATGTTAATAAGGACATAATGTTCAGTGTACATATTTGCAGTAAATTCTTATTCATTTCTGTCCCCCATTTTCACTTAAAGTGTGGGATATTAATTTGGGTCTGTCCATCCATCAGTCCATACGTCCTTACATCCATCCATCGGTCTGTCTAGCTGTCTGTATTTCTGTCTGTCTGTAAAACTTTGTTTCGGGATGATATCTTGAGAAGCCTTTGAGCTTTTGCAATGAAATTTTACATCACCACTACTCCTTATCACCTAAAGCTTACCACTACTCCCTATCACCTAAAGCTTTTGAGGTCAAAAAACAAAGGTTAAGGTCATAAAGTCATAATTCTGTCTGTTTTCAAAACTTTAATTTCTTTGTGATATCTTGAGAAGCCTTTGAGCTTTTGCAATGAAATTTTATACCACAACTCAATGTAGCCTAAAGAAGACCCATATCGAATTTGATTTCAAAAGTTCAAAGGTCAAGGTCATAAATTCATACATTCTCTCTGTTTGTAACACTTTCGTTGCCAGGCAATATCTAAATCTTTTGAGCTTTTGCAATGAAATTTTATACCATAATTCCCTATGTTCCTGCCTGCCCCTCTCAAAGTGTCCCACCCCATTGTTATATGCCCATCTTAAGATGGGACATATTATGTTGTGGCATTCATGTCCGTTCGTCTGTTAGCTTTTCTCGTGTCTGGCTCATAACTTGAATAATATTAGGCCTAGAATTATCAAACTTCGTCAGCTGATACTTCTTGGGTAGAAGGTGTGTCGCACATTAAAAGTAGGCCGCTCTGACCTTTAATTAAGATACTATGGCCAAATATGGAAAAATCCTGTCCAGCTCATAACTAGAAAACTGTTAGAAAACCAGAATCATTAAATTTGGCCAATTAATGCATCTTAGGTAGAAGGTGTGTCACACCCTACTTCAGGGTCTCTGTGACCTTTAATTAAAGTAAATTTTTTTTAAAAAAAACTGCATCTTTTAACTTTTAAATTTCATAATCCCAAAACATGTAAGAGTATTGCAGTATCCTTTTTAAAACAACCTTAAATCAAGAAAATACTTTTTTTTATGTACCCGTAATCGAAGATTCGGGGACATATAGTTTTTGCCCTGTCCGTCCGTCTGTCTGTCTGTCTGTTTGTCCGCAAAAACTTTAACCTTGCCCATAACTTTTGATTGGTTGGAGCTATGGCTTTCATATATCACATGTGCATTCCTTATGACAAGACCTTTCTTTGGAAACCATCATATTTGACCTTGACCTTGGAGTTTGACCCACTTTTGCAAAATTTTATGAGACTTTAACCTTGGCCATAACTTTTGAACACTTAAAGCTTGGGTTTTTAAACTTCACAAGTGTATTCCTCGTGAGAAGGCCTTTCTTTGGATACCAACATCTTTGACCCTTTGACCTTGACCTTGGAGTTTGACCTACTGTTGAAAAAACTTTAACCTTGGCTATAACTTTTGAACAGTTTGAGCTAGGTCTTTCATACTTTGCATGTGTTTTCCTTGTGACAAGACCTTTCTTTGTATACCAACATCTTTGACCTTTTGACCTTGACCTTGGAGTTTGACCTACTTCAATTTTGAGAAATTTTAAACTTGGCCATAACTTTTGAACAGTTAGTGTTAGGGTTTTCATACTTCACATATGCATTACTTGCGAGAAGACCTTCCTTTAGATACCAACAACTTTGACCCTTTGACCTTGACCTTTGAGTTTGATCTACATTTGAAAAACTTTAACCTAGGCCATAAATTTTTAGGTCACCTGAGTCACTCAGGTGACCTATTGCTATCCGTTTTTGTTGAGTGTCTTGCGATGTGCGTCAACATTTGAACATTTTTAGCTTCTTCTCTGAAACCGCTCAACCAATTTCAACCAAATTTGGCATATAGCATCTATGGGTGAAGGGGAACAAAAATTGTGAATTTCATGGTCCCTGCCCCCCCCCCCCCCCCTGGGGCCTGAGAGGTGGGGCTAAAACCACCAAAATTAATGCAATCTTTAAAAATCTTCTTCTTTACTCCTGGACATCAAGCAGTCAAACTGTTGGCATGATTGTAATAAGCATTGAGCCCTCTACCGAAATTGTGAAATTTATGGCCCCAGGGTCAGGGGTTCTGGTGCTAGGATGGGGCTATATAGATCATATAGTGAAAGTGCATTATATCTTTGAAAATCTTCTTCTCTGCTCCTGGGTATTAAATAAAGTAACTAAGTACATAGTTATAATGAGCAAGAGTGCCTCTTTCAAAATTGTGAAATTCATGGCCCCTGGGTCAGGAGTTCTGGTAAAAAAGGGGGGGGGGCTGTATTGATTATGTAGTGAAAATGCATTTATTCTTTGAAAATCTTTTTCTCTGCTCCTGAGTATTAAACTATGTAAGTACATAGTTATGATGAGCAAGAGTCTCTCTTCCAGAATTGTGAATTTCATGGCCCAAGGGTCAGGGGCTCTGGTGTTAGGGCGGGGCTCTGTTGATTATATAGTGAAAATACATAAATTCATTGAAAATCTTCTCTGCTCCTGGGTATTAAATAAACTACTTTAAAATAGGGATGGGTATCGGCAAAAATTTCGTATCGTGATATATCATGATTTTTTTCCCAAAAATATCACAATAAATCGTGATATTTTTACACACAATTTTTACTACAATTTAAAATGAATTTCCATCATATTTCTTAAAAATATGCTATAAAAACATAACTTTACTTTTTAAATTTTCATTTATTTAATATATAGCATATTTTGATGCCGTTGTTTAACTGTTTTCAACCTTTTTTTACACTTCCTATAATTGTCATTCAATAGTTTGAACAAATAAATGAATAATTTCCGGAATTTATAGTTATGTACCAAATACCGGTATTTTAGTCTCCGTATCACGATACGTATCACGCAATGAACAATCGCGATTTACCGGTAAACCGATAAAATTGTGCATCCCTACTTTAAAAGAACATAGTTATGGTGAACATGGCTCCCTTTTCAGAAATTATGAATTTCATGGCCCCTGGGTCAGGGGTTCTGGTAAAAAGGGGGGGGGGGGCTCTATTGATTATGTAGTGAAAATGCATTAATTCTTTGAAAATCTTTTTCTCTGGTCTTGGGTTTTAAATAAACTAACTTAGTGCATAGTTATGATGAGCATGGTTGCCTCTTCCAAAATTGTGAATTTCATGGCCCCTGGGTCAGGGGTTCTGGTGTTAGGGCGGGGCTCTATTGATTATATAGGGAAAATTCATAAAAGGAAGTCCATGGTTATGATAAGGAAGAATGCCTCTTCCAAATTTGTGAGATTCATGGCCCCAGGATCAGGAGTTCTGGTGAAGGGGGGGGGGGGGGGGCTGGGAGGGGTTCTCTATTGATTATATAGTGAAAATTTGTTAACAGAAAATTGCATGTCAAATTTTAGAGAAATTTAATGAGTTTAGTTTGAGAAAATAACTGGTAGAGTATCTCTGATCAAGTAGATGTTATCTTTATCTCTAGGGAATTGGGCAAAGGATTGCTTGTGTTGGATTAAACAGTTTTTGTTGGCTAGCTTAACTTTCGAAATAAATTTGATGTTAAGTAATTAAAACTAATTTGATATTGTATAATAAATGTATAATTAAAACTAATAAAACTAAATTGATATTGTGTCATATAATTAAAACTAATTACACATGGGGGGGGGGGGGGATTCGGAATCAGTGTGTCCATCTGTCTGTATGAAATGCAGCTCAAAACCAGTCATTAAATCTAAAAAAAAATCTCCAAGTATTAAAAAATGCCATATGGTAGATAGTCCCTACAGAGTCATGCAGTAACCTTATTAAAAATGTTGCATCAAGATTACACAATTTTTTTCTTATTTTATAAATCTTTGTAACAAATAAAAAAAAATCTTTGTTGTCAACAGAATAACATAAATACGAGGGGCATTTCAAAAGTTCTGGCAACTGGTATATAAAATTTTAACTACGTAACGGATTAAAATGACTCTGATACCACTGTAAAGCTTAGGCAAATATGCATTAGTAGTGACGTCATTTTACATTCAAAATGATGTATAGGTCTGCTAAAATGATGTCATAATTAGGTATACTCTGTATACTGGGCGTAAAAATGACTGATAAGGAGAACAATTTTTTTGTTGAGCAAAGAGCGTATTGGCAAAATTCGCTCATTGCTTGGCTTTACGGCAACAGAAATAAAAGCCGATTTAGATGTAGTATATAGAGAGCATGCTCTTTCATATCGAGCAATAGCAAGATGGGTAGTTCAAATCTAAAGAGGGTAAAAAATTAATTGAAGATGACCCCCGTTCGGGGTGTCCAGTTTGTGCATATGGAGAAAAAGAAATCGTCGCTGTTCAAAATATGGTAGCTGATGATGCTAGATATACAGTTGAGGAAATAGCAGACTTAACTAACATTAATTCGTCAGCAGTTTTTCGTATTTTAAAGGAAAACTTAAAGCTTAGGAAAGTCTGTGCTAGATGGGTGCCGCATCTTCCCTCGGAAGAGCAAAAGCGCATCCGGGTAGAAATGGCTTCACTGTTACTAACAATTTATGAAGATTGTGACCAAAGGCGAATAAATGAGATTGTAACTGGTGATGAAACATGGATATATTTTTTTGAACAGGAAACTAAGCTCAATAATAAAGTTTGGATCGGTGAAAATGATACAAGGCCTCAAATTGCAGGCAGAAACCGGTGAGTAATGTACGCCTTGTTTTTTGATTCTAAAGGCCCTGTTGCTCAAGTTCCAGTTCCAGAACACAGCAGTGTTACTGGTCAATTTTATGCAGAGAATGTCTTGTCT